GGGCGAGACAGAGAATGCTGTCTCGCCTGGCGAGACAGTAAAGACTGTCTCGCCTGCGAGACAGAGAATGCTGTCTCGCATGGCGAGACAGTAAAGACTGTCTCGTATGCGAGACATCCCAAACTTGTGTTCTTCTGCCTTTTTGGATGATTTCCTCTTGAGCTGTATTTGGATATCTTTCAGCATTTTTTGACGCCTACAGATACCCCCTCCAAAGTATTCCAGACTCAATCTTTTATAGAGGAGTTCTGGGATGCTTTGGATAAAATAGGTCTTACTTATGATCCTTTCAATGCTTGGTTGAGTAGATCGTGTAGAGGAACCCGTATGTGGCTTCAACTTTTGATCTCTTTGTCTCTCAATCTATTCAGTGCTTTGTAGAATAGTTAAGATTCTTCCGGCATCGCGTTTATCGCTTGTCCATTGTAGAGATCTTGAATTAAAGCTGGAACTTGTACTTGTGAAATCAGCTCTTGTCGTCAAGTTGACACTGCATATACCCGTTTAGGGGTAGTCAGGTTATTCTCAAGAATATTTTAACTGATATTCTCCAGAAACTTCCTGTTGAGGATAGGGAAACAGTTTAGACTCTTATACCTATTTGGAGTATTCAGGTTATTCTTAAGAATATTCTGAGTAATATTCTCTAGAAACTTCCTGTTGATGATAGGGAAACAGTTTAGACTCGTGTACCTATTGGAGTATTCAGGTCTCTTTTTTGTTGGTAGAGATGAACCCAGAATCGGAGAGGAAGAATTTTATATTCTATCTCCTGGTCTCTTGTTTGTTGGTAGAGATAAACCCGATGATGGAGAGGAAGAATTTTATATTCTATCTCCTGGTCTCTTGTTTGTTGGTAGAGATAAACCCGATGATGGAGAGGAAGAATTTTATATTCTATCTCCTGGTCTCTTGTTTGTTGGTAGAGATAAACCCGATGATGGAGAGGAAGAATTTTATATTCTATCTCCTGGTCTCTTGTTTGTTGGTAGAGATAAACCCGATGATGGAGAGGAAGAATTTTATATTCTATCTCCTGGTCTCTTGTTTGTTGGTAGAGATGAACCCGAAATCGGAGAGGAAGAATTTTATATTCTATCTCCTGGTCTCTTGTTTGTTGGTAGAGATGAACCCAGAATCGGAGAGGAAGAATTTTATATTCTATCTCCTGGTCTCTTGTTTGTTGGTAGAGATAAACCCGAAATCGGAGAGGAAGAATTTTATATTCTATCTCCTGATCTCTTGTTTGTTGGTAGAGATGAACCCGGAATCGGAGAGGAAGAATTTTATATTCTATCTCCTGGTACAAAGGAAATTTAAATTGGGATTTCTATTCAGAGAATCTGAATAAGGTTTGATCAATTGAGATTGGAAGCAATCTTAACTTTTATAGTTTTGATTGCACAAATCGAAGCTGGACCTCTCGTTCATGGAAGGAAT